GATTGGGAACCCTTTGGGGACTTGGTTGACTTAGCATCTCCTAATCAGCTATCGCGCTCGCCGTATAAAAATAGCATTTACCCGTGCCCGCAAAGTGCCCGCGTGATTTTTCATCCGATGCACTTCGGACGGTGACACACCACTCGTGATCTCACGCCGTCGTGAATATACAGTAGAGCACACGACCGAGCTTGCAACGCGTTAGGGGCCGTCCATAAATGACGTCACGCGATTTTGGACGATTTTTGACCCCCCCCCCCCCCTATCGTCACACGGCGTCACAGAAAGTCAGACCCCCCCCCCTCAAATATGACGTCACAAAGCTCTGCTGCCCCCCCCCCCCCCAAATAAAAATAAAACATACTTCAAATCGCTTTCAACTATTGTCATTGTAGTGCGTATTTAATGTGGCGCTGCACTCTTATGTTGTAGGAGAAAACATGTTTTAAAAAGTCTATTTCATTAAGTAGAACGTGTTGTCTTTATTTATTTAAAGTTGCGCATTTTTATGTTACGTCAGATTTCTCAACCCCCCCCCCCCGTCACACATAGTCACAAATGTCTGACACCCCCTAGGTGCGTGACGTCATTTATGGACGGCCCCTTATGCGGATTACTGGGCGCCAAAAGTTGGGGGGTGCGTCTCTTAGTCAGTGTGGACCAGGTTTTGTCGATACGGTATCCGTTGGAACCTTATAACGCGGAGAATCCGGTAGAAGCATAGGTGTATCGGCCAACTCCCCTCTGCATTAACAATGGTCTCGGTGTAGCGGTGGCTATAGACTGCCTCTGTCTAAATCGTTTTGTGAAGACACGGCACTGCTGCTGCTGCTGCTTGCTGCACTCTTGCGCGTTAATTGTTGATGGCTTCAGTTCCTGGGCTGCTTGAGTCGCTGGTGCGCCACGGTGGCGAGATGTTAACTACCTCGCCCGGTGTACAGGGGGTAGTGGGTTCGATCCCGACCTTGACGCCTCTGTATTCGGAGTTTGCATGTTCTCCCCATACTCGTGTGGATTTTTCTCGGGGTCCTCCTGGTTTTTCCCTCCATATATAGAAACATGCATTTAGGGCAGCGGTCCACAACCTTTTTGGCACCAGGGACCGGTTTCGTGGAAGACAATTTTTTCACGAACCGGGGGGGGGGGGTGTCATCATTGGGTCTTTCCCCCTTTTCAAAGAAGCTCTCCAGCGACGTTTGTTTTTACTCATTTTGGCTACTAGGGGTTAGCAGCTTGTGGGCTTACCAACACTGTGACTGAGACAAAGGAGGCGCGGACTGACAGTGGTGAATAATAAAATCATGGGCGGGCCACGCGCGGACTCACCGCTCTCACCTCCTAGCTGTGGGGCCCGGTTCCTCACAGGCCACGGGCCGGTACCGGTACCGGTCCGTGGCCTGTTGGGGACCCCTGGTGTAGAGTGTGTGGCTGCTCGGAATCCCACGTCGTGATAAGCCCACTTCAGTTGAGCCATCATTTGTCGGCAGGTCACTTCTGAACGAAGATCTGTGTAGCTCAGCGGACCCTTTACCTGGTAAAACAACAACAAGAGTGAATGGCAATAGCCGCTTCTTATTCTGCGCCGCCTATTGCTCCTATTCTCGCCGGGTACACCGCTGATTTAATGTCTGCAGCTGCTGTTGCCGGCGGTTGTTATTGCATTGCAATTGTGGAGCGCAGGACGCAGTCCCAACTCGTGCTTGTTGTCAACGTAAGCGCTTGCAGAACGCGCATCCGTTCAAGTGTTTTTTTTGGTCTTGGGTAACGCTGTTGTTGTCGTCTTGGAAAATGTTCATTTGTTGCTCGCATGGAAGTGTTGGCTTGCCATTGTGGCCGCGAGAGACACGGGGAAGTGTCCTGTAAGAATCTAATTGAAAATCCACGCAGGCCAGACGATAGCTAAATAAATAACGGCGTGGAGCGGTGGTGCAGTGGTTAGCGCGCTCTGCAATAAGAACCACCCGGTAAAAACTGATTGATTTGACTAGCAGCTGTCTAACCACGGCCAACGTCAGTGGCGAGTGATATCAGAACTGGCCCCGCGCAACGCACCAAAGCGCACGGACCAGCGGGGTGAAGTATGGTCAAATAACTCAATGACCGACGAGAGGGTGCGAAGGCTGTCATCCCGTTGGTGGATTGAAAGTAACAGATATTTATTTATTTCACTTACAATTTAACTTAAATGACCCGGAACAAACCCAGATCATGCGAGATTGCAAATAAGGAGGACTGCTATGGCGAATTGCACGTGGCATGCCCCGCGCATTTTGCAACGCAATTTGTTTGTGTTTTCACTATTTATATCCCAGCTCGGGCTTGGCTAAGCCATTTTTATCGGGCGTTACAATCTCAGTTTGAAGTCTAGCGATATTGGGCTGCGTGCGGGGAATATGAAAACCCGAAGCTGTACTCCCGGATTTGTACTTGTGTAGTAGGTTCAAAGAGACTTGGACGACGTAGTCAGAGGCACACTTATTTATTAAACGTTCCACTCTATACAGGCCAAGGAATACAACACTCGAAGGGGTATCGGTACCCTTCACCCGTCTAACAGGGAGATCCCACGATCTCTATCCCGGCTAGCCTACTCCCAGGTCCTCCACTACAGAGCTAGGGGAGGCTAGCTGATCCAGCTCTGGCCAAGCTGGGATCACGGCACCCTGAGTCACCAGACCGGTTCTTACAAGAACATCGGCTCTGGGCTCTCGGTGCCACGCCACTGGCTTGCCCTGGTCGGTCCTTAGAAGGACAGCGATCCAGGGGAGTCCCAGGGCCTATCTAGCCGGTCTTCCTTCTTCACTGGTTTAAGCTAAACACTGAACCCCGAGCCCACCGGCTCACCGCCTTATATAGCAACTCCTCCCCCCCCGAGGGGTGGGGCCGTGGGGGATCACAGCGCCGTTTCAGCCCCCCAGGCTAAAAGATGCGGACGTGGATGTAAGCATAACCACCCCTGGTGTGTTTGTTCGCCCTCCCGTAACACCTCTACACTTGCACCGCATCCGGCTGAACTTGAGCCTGGCGGGGTCGCACTCTTTTCCGTTTCGTGCCGACGACATTCTCGTGTTTGTCACGAGAGCCACCGCGTTCGTTTATAATCCTGGAAGGTGACGCGACTCATTCTCGGGTTAAAATCCCCACCCGCTCGTGCGTGGGACGCCCTTGAGGAGAGAAATGCGTCTTCGAAAGCGGCGAGACTGCGATCTGACGTTGCTCCTTGCTTGCCTCCATTGTTCAATTTTAATGTGCGATTTTATTGAAGGGACTGTGTGTGGTCTTGGTGTGGTCTGGGACTATTTTTTTTGCTGCTTTACCCAAGACTGCATTTGTTTTTTTTAATAATAGGCAGCAATTCACGTACTTATGTAATTTGTCCTTTATTTATTTAGTGGCTTGCTTAGCTTTCATATACGTTGCACTCCTATCCGATTTTTGTATTGTCATTTTCTGACCCATCTGTGAAACAGAGCTTCATAGGGCATCGGATTCTTCGGGTCTAAATCAACATTCTGATTCTGTGTTCCTTCGCGTGGCGCCGTGAGAAATTGTCACGATTTCAGCGACCGTGGCAGCCTTCTGCCGATCTGCGTTCATGCCGAGGTCGGTGAGAGAGCCGGTGGGTGGCTTCAGGCGGAGCTGATGAATATCTATAATTCTCCCGACGGTGATCGAGGCGCGCAGCGAGTGGCGTTACAATGCGGTCCGTTGTTCGAGATCAGCGAATGCAATCGAACAACACGCGTGGCACTTAAAGCCCTCCTATAGCCTGCACACAGTGGGCGGATGAGCCACATTCTTTGTAAGATTCGACCTTGGTAGTGTATTCGTGACAGCGTCAGCTTCGCGTATTACGTAAACATTGGTGGCGGCGCAGCAGTTAATTTACTAACCACCCAAGGGTGTGGGATCACGTACGTGTACGCTTGCTTCTCACCTCTAATTCGTAAACTTGTGATTGATATAATTCCACGTGAATGTTGGTGAGTAGGTGGTGGTGGTGGTGGAAGGGCGCTGATTGAATCACCCCGCACAGCGCAATGCCCACGTGCTTGACCGCCACTCTGCACCTTCGGCGCTGATACGCGCACAGAACCGCGTGGGATCGGGTTTATGTTTCTACTCAGGCTGAACGATTAATCGATTTCGATTCGAAATGGCAATTTGAAACAATGCGATTAGCAAATCGCAAAGGCTGTGATTTTTTGCGATTTGAAAAGTCCTATTTCTTTCTTATTGGAATTGTTTTTGTATTATTATAACTTTATATATTTACCTTAACAATTGTTCTATGTTTGATTGTTCTATTTCAATTGAAACATTGTAATAAATACATGTTGGAAGCAAATAATTTATTTTAAGTTCTCATCCTTGCATTAGAATATATTGAGACGTACATATTTTGTTGGTATCATGTGGTCATGCTCCATCACATGTTTAAAATCTATTACACAGTCAATATTGAACTGAAGCTTGACTTAAACAAATTTGATCGCAACTCAAATCGCAATATCTGTCAGAAAAATCGCAATTAGATATTTTCCCCAAATCGTTCAGCCCGAGTTGATATCCCCCCCCCCCCGCCACCTCGTGTGGCTTCGGCGACTTCCATAGGCGCTCGCTCACAGCACTTGCTCCAACAGTCTGTAAAAAGCTACACGGAAGAATAGGCGGATCTTTGTGTGTGCTGAGCACTACGCGTTCATCTGCCTGAGCACCGCGTGTTGTTGTGCCCCCTCCCACATCCCCAGCGCGTCTTGCGCAAAGCCCATCCAGTGCGCGCAAGCATCACCCCCCCCCCACTACCCTCACTATCTCGCTCCCCTCCCTCGTCCACCCCGTCCCGACCCACCAACCTCCCCCTCCTCTGAGCCTCCCCTCTCTCTCTCTCTCCCTCATTGCTTCGATCATCCCACAAGCGGTCATTCCATATGCGGCTTCTCACGCGCCCGCACCATCTGAAGTCGGCGCTGGTGGGTGGGGGGAGGGAGGGAGGGCGAACGAAATCGTGCCACCACCACCATCGCAGCGGAGGAGGCACCAGTGACGGTCACTTGTCAAGAGGAGGTCTATTCCTGGAGAAACGCGACTCCGCCGCTGTCGGGCACATGACGCTCGCTCGAGTTCGCTTCGCCGTTGAGCCTTGGGGGGGTGCCGAGCATAGCAGGGTCCGACAGGGAGACGTCGCCACCACCACCACCCCGACGTGCGAGGAGGAGGAGGAGGCGCGCGTCCTCGCCGAGGGCTGCCGCCGCCGCTGCTGTGCCCGTTCACGATTCCCCAGCCGAGGACAAAGGAGGCACGAGGTCGTCTCGTTTCGCCGTCACCGACGACGCCTCCACCACCACCACCACCAGCCCCTCTGCTGCTCGCCGACAGCTGCAGCCGCCGGCAGAATTGGTGAGTGTGCGGAGTGGTCCGGACGAGTGTGTGAGCGCGTGCGTGTAGGTCGGCTCAGCCTCAAATGAGTACCTGGTGCGGTGTGTGGTAAATATCGTCACTGGGGGAGACAAAGGCGGCCGGGCGTGGTGTTGGCCGCCCACCCGCTCGTGTGCCGTGCCGGCCTTCATAGGTGCTCGCTAGCAGCACTTGCCCCAACAGTCTGTTAAGGCTACACGAGGGATCTTTGTTTGTGTGCGAGTGTTAGGTGCTCGCTAACAGCACTTGTCCCACCAGTCTCGTTACGGCTATTTACGGGGTACCTTTGTCCTGTTTGGAGAAAGCGGTGGTGATAGCGATTGGCGAATTACATTATGAATTCCATTTGACCTTCGTTCGATTCCAGGACACGCCTCTCGTCAGTGGCGAGTGATATCCAATTCGGTCCTGGGACTCCCCTAGGTCGACTCAGCCTTACATTGCTATCTGATGCGGTGTGTAAACATCGCCATCGGGAGACAAAGGCAGTCCGTCGTGGTGCTGGGCACCCACCCCCTCGTATACCATGCCGGCCGTCATAGGCTCCTCGTTAACAACACATCGCCCCAAAAGTACCTTAAGGGGGATATTTACCTTGTGTGTGTGTGAGCCCATACCTGTCCCTGTGTGTTAAGAGGAGGCGTGTGTGTGTGTGTGTACCCGCGGAATCTCGCAATTGATGCGCGGGTTTAATGTTTCCACGCGTGCATTGGTAGAGGGTGCATTGTCGTAATTTGCTCGATAGCATAATCGGGAGGACTCACACACGACACCGTTACAGTGGCACCTCACGAACGAATTCCGAATCGTGACCACGTGCGTGTCACGTTTTACGCATACATGCCTCGCGTGGGTGTCCGTGTGTGTGTGTGTGTGTGTCTCCGTCTTGTCGACAAACAATGGGATTACATCATTAGGCCTAATTACCTCGGGTGTGAATCAATTCATTATGTTTCTCTCTCGTAAGCCTGTCTCTCTTTGCGCGTGGCGCGGGACTTGATGCCTTGAGATCGCGCGTGCAATTGCGGAGCTGCTCGGTCAACCTTTTGTTTACCCGGCTGCAGGACTCCACCCCCCGTGCTTTCTCACGCGGTCCCAGTGGCCCCTCGATACGCTCGACACACAAGAAGGAACACGTTTGTGATGCGTCGTCGGCAGCTGTGCACAAGAACAACGAACAGCTCAGCACCCATGTCAATAACACTGCCCGAAGTTTATTTTTTTTAAATAAACCATCACGGGCGACGTTTCGGGAAAGGGCCCTTTTTCATAGCCAAAGCGAGTCGGTGGCATGGGGGGGTGGTGGGGATAGATATCTGATTATAACATTTCCTAGTGTAGATAGCGTCTCAGCTTGGCGAGCGGTGAAAGTGATTTGCGCCTGCTGTCCTCCCGCCTGTCGCTGTCAGGTCCAGCGGACGTGATGGTGCGGGCGAGAGCCGGCAGCAATGTTGGCTAGGAAGGGCCTCCTCGCCGAGGAGTACGTGCTCACCCGCCTCGCCGAGGACGAGGTGGGCCACCAGCCCAAGCAGCGACCGCGTCCTCGCAAGGCGCGCTTCGTGCGCAAGAACGGCGCCTGCAACGTGGCCCACAGGAACATCCGCGAGCAGGGCCGCTTCCTCCAGGACGTGTTCACCACACTCGTGGACCTCAAATGGCCACACACGCTCGTCATCTTCACCATGAGCTTCCTGTGCAGCTGGCTGCTCTTCGCCATCATCTGGTGGCTCATCGCCTTCTCGCACGGCGACCTGGACCGCGTGGAGAACGCGCCGAACCCGTGCGTCACGGCCGTGCACTCCTTCACCTCGGCCTTCCTCTTCTCCATCGAGGTGCAGGTGACCATCGGATTCGGGGGCCGCATGATCACGGAGGAGTGCCCGCTGGCCATCACGATGCTCATCGTGCAGAACATCGTGGGCCTCATCATCAACGCCATCATGCTGGGCTGCATCTTCATGAAGACAGCGCAGGCGCACCGGCGCGCCGAGACGCTCATCTTCAGCAAGCACGCCGTCATCGCCCCGCGCAACGGCAGGCTCTGCTTCATGTTCCGCGTGGGCGACCTGCGCAAGAGCATGATCATCGGCGCCAGCATCCACATGCAGGTGGTGAAGAAGACCACCACGCCCGAGGGTGAGGTGATACCCATCGACCAGGTCGACATTCAGATGGAGAACCCCATCGGCACCAACGGCATCTTCCTCGTGTCCCCGCTCATCATCTGCCACACGATAGACAGCAAGAGCCCCCTGTACCTGCTTACACCCAACTCCCTCCAGCACGAAAACATCGAGGTGGTCATCATCCTGGAGGGCGTTGTGGAGACCACGGGCATCACGACGCAGGCCAGGACGTCCTACCTGCCCGACGAGATCCTGTGGGGTCACCGATTCGTGTCTATCGTCACGGAGGAGGAGGGCAAGTTCTCGGTGGACTACTCAAAGTTCGGGAACACGACGCGCGTGGCCACGCCGCGGTGCAGCGCGCGGGACTTGGACGAGCAGCACGGAGCGCTGCCGGCGACGAGCTCACAGAGGGCCCAGAACGCCACACGCAGGAGGCACGCGGAGGAGCGGCGCGCGTCGGGGATTTTGGAGACGCAGCAACCTCGCTTTTCGTGATGCCAACCATGCCTCAGCACAAGTAAAAAGCCACTGTTGTTTTCCTAAAGGGAAAATGATCGTTAAATGGCATTTTATATATATGTGGAAAAAAAAACTAATTTACATCGGTATATTTTTGTTGCCTTGAACTTTTTTTCCGACAGTTGGCTTCGGCGTGAAAATGCCATTGCTTGTTCACTTTGAAATGCTGCTAAAACAATCCGAAGGCCAAGATGGAAACTGCAAAGAGTGTTGCTTGAATTTAAATGACACCGGCTCTATGGTTTGTTTGCTGAGTTTGAGCCTCTTGCTTTCAGTGTTGAGTAGAGTTCGGCGAGGTTCGTGTCTGCTCATTTTGTGTGGATGATTTAAATGTTTTTGGAAATCAGTACTCAACAGCCAATTTGAGCAAATTATTGTACTGGCCAGGCAAGGGCTAATTTAAGGAAGACGACAATGTTTTTGGACGCTGTATATTGCTGTATAAACTGTACACTTTTAAGCACAAAGAAGCAATATATATTGTGCATGGAAGTTGGATTTTTACAATTGATCTCAATAAAAGCGTAATATATCATTAATAGAATACTGTGCTCTCTTTTCGAAAGCCAAAACTTTAACAAACGTAGAGCCGCTGTATTTGACTGCCTGGGCAAGTGATTGATTGTGTAATACAATACGTAGACTCGCACCAAATGGAGCAGGGAAAGTCTTAAATGGATTACTCTAAGCCTGACTCCACTTGTCATGGAGTCAGTAGCTTCCAAGGGTTGAGGGCGTACAATGCAATTTGGATTTATATAGCGTCTAAATGCAGCCATATCTCAAGGCGCTGAACAAAAACAGTGGGAATATTTATTTTGTAGAGAAGCAGTCGGTCGATCATAGGCAGAGGCGAACAAGGAAGGTCTGAACCTTGGACTTGAACAGAGGCAGGGAATAAACTGCACGTACTGCTGGATGCAGGAAATTCCAGATTGCAGGGACAAAATTAGAGACCGACACCTTATTGAAGGTTGACTGGGGGCATCGATATAACTCCTTGGTTTCTGGAACCGAAAGTGCACAGTGGGGAGTGCAGTGAGACGAGAAGGGAGAGATAGGGGCAAGCCCGCTGAGGATCTTGAGTGCAATCTTGAAATTGAGTGTGGATTGGATTGGGAGCGAATGGAGGGATTGGAGTACTGAGTGGTCTCGTTTACTTATGGTTACGGGTGTGGGTGACAAATCTAACAGCGGCATTTTGGATCATCTACAGATTGTAGATGAGATATTTTGGAAGGACATAAAGGAGATAATTGCAATATTCCAGTCGGGAAGTGAATAAGGCATTGATGATGGTCTCGGCAGCAGTTTGGTTGAGGAGATGACAAATCTCACATTTTAAATATTGTGGGTGATGAATATTGTTAAAGACATGTTTTACGGCATATTCAATAATGTCATTGAGTGCTACTGTTCACTCAATTCAGTGTCCTTAAGTTAAACCTAGGTCATGACAAATTAAAAATAATCTGCATTTGCTATGTCATGGAAAAAGCATGTGCTTTATCTTTTCTCTTTCTCTTGCGTCCTTGCCAGGAACAAAGCTTTGCCACAACCTGAAAGAGTGTTTGTGCTATTTCACGTGTATACGGCTAACCGATTCCTACTCGAAATTCGCGATATACGGTTTGAAATCGCTCATGTGTGGTTACGGGGTCAGACGTGGGACGTCGTTGTGTAGTGTGGACTTTGTGCGCTACTCGTACGGGCAGCTGTCTCGTGCGGTCTCATTTTGTGCGCCACTTTCTTGGAACGCATCTGCAACCGCACACAGCGAGGGAAACCTGTCGACTGAACATTCACAAACAAATACCGGTAACACATCGATGAAAAGATACACCTCAATACAGAGAGAAGATTTCAACCTCTACATCTGTATAGTTCATATTTCAAGCAGCATATATACTGTTTGGTGAAAGTGGAAACCATAAATGTTGATAACGCACAAGACACACGCGGTGTGGGGAGGCCCTCGTGTAGCAGTGGACTGACAAAACACGCCGTACTTGTACATAATATAACTACATCCAACAGTACTGCAGCCACGCCATCAAGTACGTGTTTTTGGGGGGTTTATTTCAAACCTCGAATTAATGAAAGGACCGATGCAGCAATGGGCAAGGCCAAATCAGTGATTGCTAAATACACGATCTAGTCACTGGACTCTTGCACAGCCTTGCTGGGAGCTTTGTGCAGCACTGCGTACGGCAGGGCCCCCTCTGCCCTGTCCGTCGCCTCACTTCTGTCGAAGGCAAGTCTGGCGAAAAGGCCGTACCCATGCACGCTGAACTTCTTTCGCACGCCGCACGTAGCCAACCGCGCTAATCTTTGCTACGGGAGGGAACGAAGGGGCAGTTGGTGTCACCGCTTCACGCAAGCCAGGCATTGGCCGCATGAAATGGAGTACAGACACGCAGCCAGCCGTGAAAAGCGCAGGGGGGGTGAGCGTGCGCACGCATCCACGTGTGCACGCGCGCACGCACGCGCGCCACCTGTCACGGGCGACAGGGCACTTTATGACAGAGCGTCTTAATGGCCTTGCACTGTAAACGCAAGCCACCAAGTCCTACTTTTACGGTGGACAAGTTAAATACACCGTGGGCTTCCTCCCGTGACGAGCGGTGGTTCGTGCAACTCTACGGGTGAGCGCAGGTCTGCCTCTGGGTCCCTCTAGTGAGTCCATGAACCGGTGTCCTGCCACAGAGTTGGTCAAATTCCTCGTGGCAGGTGGTAACTAAGGGTGGCAATTAAATGATGACTGAATAACACAAATATTTAGTCGCATTTACTCTTAGCGGTGTCGATGTCTCATTTGACACCTTGCCACTGTGCCTCCAATTCCGAGTTTTGGTGTTTTTTTCCAGATTGACTTGGGGACCCCATGGGTTGGAGTTTGAGGCTTGCTTCGATTGAGATAATCCCTATGTCACGTGATGAACGCTGCTGCAAGACTGAGCACAGTAGCATTGGGTTTTTTTTAATATAATGACTCAGGGATTAATTTGGTTGCCATGGTGAGGAGTACGTGTGTTGAGGGGTGACATGATAACCCAGGCACTGCACCCAAAGCTGCTGATAATCAGGTTCGACGGCAGACTTTGAATTTGAAAATTCAAACAACCTCCGCTGATCCTGACAGCCCCCTATGCTTTGGGTCTAATCTGTTCGGAAATGACAACCCCCATGTTTTATTTGCAGAGCTGGAGAAGTCGGTTTTACCAGGATCATCATCTTTTTGCAATAGCCAATGGAAAAATGTGTAAGTCTTCACGGGACATCCAATGTCAATTGCGTAATAATACACACTCAAGACAATGCATTTGCACGTCATTCTTCCCTCTCCTAGTTTTGTGAGATATTTTTCTTCCGATGATATGTTCCGGTTTTTTTGTACCCTAGAGGTTGCAACCCCACGGGGGAGGCATGCGGTTGTGGAGTGAAGTGCACGCGAAGCTGCTGCTGCTGCACTCCCAAGAGCCGGCCTCAGCACAGAGTACTGGTGAGCAACACATCCACCCTTATTATGGCTTGCGTTTGATGGTGATACAAATGTGGGTGGAGCTGTAACGTAATGATTAGTGCACTCTGCTTTAAACCCTGGAGTACGATTCCTGGCCATGGCTAACTTCGGTGGTGAGTGATATGTCTTGCGTGATGAACCCCATCTGTCACAGACTCCTGCTGGCCAGCGTGGTGAAGTATGGTCAGACGACTTCCATGATCGACATGGCCTAGACCCAGCAGTGGATTGACAAAGGTCTATCATATTCTCGGTGTGGATTTCACACCTGATGATGATTGCTTGTGTTGCAGTCGAAACGTCGTGAGAATTGTTATTGGTTTATATTTGTATTATTTTATTATTTCCCTTCTATGTGACTTTACCGAAAGAACCAATAATATGAATCTCTGCAGTCACGAAAGCTTTAAATCAAAATTTAAAGGTCTATCAGTTAAAATGTATTTTTTATTAATAAGTATAGATCGATTCCATATTACTTCTTGGAGAAGGACCATTGCCTAAAACGTTAGCTTAACATTGAAAGTGGCCAACAGGTGGCAGTACAGCAAGTGGATTTAATCCATCCGTGCGGACCTGTGAGTGTTATTCACTCAAATGCGTTGGTTTTCTCTGGGTACTCCAGTTTCCTTCCACATGGAGCCAAACACCAATACATGAAATTGGCCACATATCTCTATGCAAGAACCCTGTTTAAATAAGTAATATAAAAAAAAGATTTTAAAAGACGCTTTAATGAAATGTACCGGACTAGTAATGGAAGAACTCCACGACTCCAGGAAGTGGCCCCGAAGCTTGCCATATCGTAAGGGACCGTGGTCAATTACAGCCAACGTCAGTTGACCGTGGACTATTAGACACAAGCCGAAACATAACATATAAAAAAGATTATTCAAAAATATTTGTATTTATTTTTTATGATAGAATATAGTATTGTCATCAGTATTACATAAGTATACCAAGTTTGCAGTCGATACCACATTTGGAAGTGGGTTAAAATTGAGTTACAATATTTGAGGATACAACAACAGACAGAGTGAGTTAAATAAAAGCGTGTAAAAAAAGAGTGTTACCACTCAGTTTGGCTTCCCTGTATAAAGAAGGATATTATTACACCACATGTTTCTTATCATATTTATCTTTAGGCCAACTTAGCAGTCACGTTTGTAAAGATATTTTACAATTTCCTGTAGTTGATTATCATTGCTCATTATATTGACGATGTTGTTAATTAATCTGAAATACAACAGTGAATACTTTCACCGTTTGTCCTTCTGCCTTGATGTCGCTAATTACATTTTCAGAAAATATATGCAAATGTCACTGGGAGAAATGAACTTGATAATGAAACATAACTTACCAATGTCCATAAACAAGATAGTTTTAACCGGTGCAAACTACCTTGCCGAGCCATGCGAAGGAATAATGGACATTAACAAAGTAAATGAAACAAAGGTAAAAAAAAGTGTGCACTGCATAATGAGATGCTTGGAATTGACATTGAGAGATTAGAAAGAGGAAGACGTGGATTATGGAACATAAGCAGATTAAAGACACAGTTCAAACTGCTAATAAAACTGAGTGTGCTTGCATGAAACCTGTCAACTCGAAAGCATGATGGCCAATGGTCAAGATTAATAAAGGAGTGGCAGCCAAGGAGTGGAACACGTCCACCAAGGAGACAGAGTGATGAAATCAGCTCGTGCGCAGGTCTTAGGGTGGATTAATACATCACAGATTGTGCGAGATGGTGACGGCTTACAGAGACTTCTATCCAGCAGTGGATTGATGGCGGCAGATAATGATGATTTGATAATTATCGGAATTGTTGAGCATGTGTTTCTTTTTGTAGCTATCTCTCTAGGCGAGCTTCATATTAAACTTACTCTTGGCAATGGGGAATACCCCATTAGTATTGAAACATTTCAGTGACATCTCTTATTAATAGAGGAGTGTAGTAATGCTTTGTGAGAGTGCATCACTGGATGTGCTTTATACATGTCCATTGCTCCTGTTCATACACAGGCGGATAAAATCTCGTGAAATGCACTCTGTTCATCTCAAGTGACTGGTGGTAATTGTTCGCATGAATGTATTTTAAAAAATGAAACGTGAAAATTGCCCATATATAGGTACAATTGAATTATGTTGCATAGTCGTGTTCATTCTCACACAAGTGATATCTTTGGCATCAATTATAAAATAGCAACTAATAATCAGGCTAGAATGTGCAATACTTTAAAAAGTATTTTTTATACTGTACCGTACTCACCACGACACATTGATTTTTTTTCTGAAATGGCCGGTTCGACTCCAGCGGCCGCCACTGGTTATTACGGTGGTTTTGTGTGTTAACCCTGAAAATACTCGCCGTCTGCTGTACAGTGGACAATACAGATCCCGTGATGTCGTTCGCAAGACGAGCCCACTGTTTTGCCGGCGTCACGGTCCAAATATTAATTTTTAAAAGGACACCGCAGATTACTCAAACGTTGTTCAAAACCTGGTAGGACCCTCCTGATAAAGAGTTCCGAGTTATGAAAAATAATTACGAGACTCGGCGAGGCTTTCCTTAGTAAACAAGTGTTATAATAGCAAAAACATTATGACTCTGCCTTTTCACACTTCCTTGCCTTCATCACTACATTTGTGTTTGTCGTACCAATGATTTTCTTTTCGACATAATCCGAGACGCATACAATGTTGGCAGTGCATTGGTGCAGTAATCAGGAAACAATAGCAGTGTTCTCGCAGCAGACTTTGATGTTTTACCTGATTGAAAATTGTATGTTTCAGTCTGATGTAGCATAATCGCACGCAGAATTGCCATCATCACTGTGGATATACTGAGGCAAGCCGTGCGGGTGCACTAGTGAGCTATGCAATAATTATTCATTATCACAGCATCCTGGATAGGTGATAATTGGGATATGACAAAGCAGACTAATTAACGATGAGCCTTTAATGTTTTCCTGCTGATTGGGGATGAATGCTGGTGTTAGTCACCTACTAATTGGTGAGGAATATTGAAACTCGTTATTACAAACATGCCTAAGGACTGTCCTTTATCGTCTTGGTTCTTTCGGTAAAGTCACGTAGAAGGGAAATAATAAAATAATAAAAAACATAATAAAATACAATTCTCATGCCGTTTCGGCCACAACGCAAGCAGCCGTCCTCATGTGAAGAACAGGTCTGTCGGAAAGACAGGGTGTGAAATGACGCTGTCTTTCCGACAGACCTGTTCCTTCTACGTGACTTTACCGAAAGAACCAAGAAGATGAATCCCTGCAGTCACGAAAGCTTTAAATCGAGACTGTCCTTTATTTTGTGACCTTTAAAATTAAACCACTCAAATTTTTCATTTTATAGTTTTTATGTGTGTCAGGTAATTGGTAAAACATAAAAAAAATTCTGAACGTGTTCTCTGTAAGTTTTATCTTTACTTTTTTAATATTTTATGAGAAAATTGTCTCCAGCTGTGTTCTCAACATCATGTCACAAGATGAAGAGATTACAATGCGGAACTCTTGCGGAGCAAATGCATCAACATGCTTTTGAGAGAGAACTACAGAAGGAGATATCACAATAGGGGGCATTTCGAGCAAAAATCCATCTTCGTAGCATGTCAATTGCATTTTGTTATATTCTATCTTTCCCTTTAAGACAGTGTTAATGATTAATGCGTTGAGTGTTGTGTTATTTGTGCTTGTGCACCAATGCCAATACATTATCACTAAATAGTTTGTTGTTATAGTAGTGTGCTGCATTCTCACGTGTGCCCTGTTACAGAGTTGTTCATCACGTGGAGTGGGACCATCGACTCTCTACACTCAACGACCCAGTTTCATTACGGGTGGCTGCCTGGATTCGAACCCAGGTTTCTTCAGTGGTGTCGGCTCATTGTTCTGATCAACTGAGCCACCCGGCCAACCAGATTGCATATTTTTGTTATTGTTAGTTTGTTTTATATCATTCTGTAAGTATAATCAATCCCATTCAAATGTTATTTTGACCTGAAGTTTTTGCATGTCTGTAGTTTTGGAAGATCAGGATGAATCCATGAAACTCATTGCACATGAGATAATCCATCCTAAGAGGTAAACTTCACATCCAATTTGTATACCTCAGAACTGTTTATATAATTCGTGAATTGACTCATTTATTAGACCAGACATTAAAACACTGAATCATATGTTTTTTTCAAAATGCTGCACTGGCAACACATTTGACGAGTGGTAGACTGTCAGAAACGCCATGATGTGATTAAACATGTGTGTTCTTCTCTTAACAGTTGACCCACTCTTCATCTGGGAGTTTAAAAAAAAATCGACAAAATATATCATTTAAACAGTGGCCAACGGGTGAAGTGGTCACGTGGCTGACATGGCCAGGACGTGGCGGTCTACAAGTTGCAGGGGTTTCCAAACTTCATGGTACGTCGTTCCGAGTTTACCAAATAACCTCCGTTCAAATCACAAATGTATTCATTACACACTGCACATGCGTGACGATTGATAAACATGTCCCACCTGACATAGAAGGTGCTGAGTTAAATCAGTCTATATGCCACTTGGGATGTATTTATCAATCATCAGGCATGTGCAGCATGTAATGACTGAATGTTTATATGAAAGGTAAATTTGTAAACTACATTTTTTGTGGACTGTAAGCATTGTGGTCCAGGAAACTGAGAGAATAACCTAACATTGTACAAAGTATTGTACGCAGTATATGTACAAAGTTGACTATAACTTACTAAATTGCTGTATTGCTGCATTTATTGATCACTATTTTGCCATGTGATCCTCACTATAATTCTCATGGCTGTCACACTGGTGTATAGTCTAAACCCATCCAATGTGCCAGCTCACAACCACAGAGCACCACAGTAAACCAGGACGATGGCACGCTTTACACGGCAACCCACACGACATTGGACACCTTTTTGTTGTCATACTGGTGTCCGAAAATAATTCGTCTTCAGAGCTCTTCCGTTTCACGTGGCAGGTGTAAATAATGGCAGCAGTATAATTTGTCGCCTGCATGAAATATTTATGATAGCTTCGTGCAGGCTGACAGCAACGTGACAGCATCGGGGTGTAAATTGGCCTGAAAACTATACGGGGTTCATAAACTGTGAGTGCAAAAACGATTATCCATTAGTTTTCAGGAAAGGGGGTAAAATTACCAGAAGTTAAAAGATGCTCGTAAAAACGTCCCAAGGAGACAATGCAAGTCGTGGAAATAAAGTCATCGGTGTTAAGTAATGGTGAGAGGCGTGAAATGTGATGAATCAGCTTTTCTACAGGGTTTGGAGTGGCACATACAAGTCAGAATATATATTTTTTCAGGTGCAGAATATTTATATTGGAGGAATCCGATGAGCTATGAAGCTCTTTGCCACAGATGTCGACACGGGGCGGGTGGTCAGAACGTTACAACAAATACAAAAACACGTTAGCTGTGCAAAGTATAGGAAAGGTAAACAAATCACTAAACAAATATCAACAAAACTAAGTGGGTTTATTTAGAGCCCAATAAAACCACAAAATCCACCATCATGAATTGCAGTGTATCTTTCATGAGGCATTTCCATGCAAAACACCAACATCGTATACGCTCATCCGCCAAGAAAGGCGACAGCCATAGATTGGTCGTGATGGAGGAAACATGCTGCTGGTGTCTGTCAGCGTTTTTTTTTATTGGCCTCTGTGTTTGACTAGATTAATCATTTGGTTTGGGTTTTAAACATGTCTCCTTATTGCATGTACATGCTTGTTTTCATTTTTGTTGTTGCCATAGTTTTATACATCTTATTGTATGTTTGTGTGTATTGATGTTATCGAAATGTGGATATATTGGGAGATGCATTCATAGATACCCCACTAAAATAATGACGACACATTAAAGGAAAGACAACATTGTGTATGTTAGCGCCTCTGCACATCCCCCGCCAATCTTCAGTACGCATTGGTAAATAGTTCTATGCCTCTTCTACCTAAGATATGGAGCCATTGCTTTTACAATGTTAAATCAGCTGTTGCAAAGAAAGAGGACCGTTAGAAATGTGTGGGGTATCTATAAAAGAATCACACTGTCGATGTTTTGCAGTGAGAATGTGATTGGTTTGCCTCATACCCAGGGATGTTAAACGGTATTTACATTGTCAACTTTTTTTTTATGTAGATGTTAATCGTAAGTAATCCTGAAGGCACACCCTGATACACATATCACATTATATTATAAATGATCAATTAAGTCCAAGCCAATTAAATGGCCAGTGACCAAATGCATTACAAGCTAATTAGACTTGACACATTTGGGAGGTTGATCCTTTATTCCAAAGTTGATGAAGATTTCTCTTTTGCACGCACATTCACTACGTTCATACGTTCATTTTTTTACATTGCACTTTAAAACCAAATGTGTTTTAGTCTATTTACAAGATTGGGTTCCTAGGATGGAATGCACATTATATTTTTTTATAATTCTAATTATAAAATTTAATTATTATCCAGCACTGTAGATGCATCGATTGGTGGATTGCACAATGTTCTGATTCTACCTTCCCATGTGCACGAAGGTGCCATACCCTGACTTGCCAGAGGAAGGTATTTTATTTCTATTATTACTTTTATTAATTTTATTTAATTTTTTACGTGACTTTACCTGAAAAAACTAAGAGTATGAAGGTAGAACAGCCAAGTATGGACTGTTCCTTTGTATGGGATAGAGTGTTGGCCACTCACATGCGTGGTTTTTTCTGCGAGTGCTCCGGTTTCCTCTCACATGTCTAAATACCAGAGGTCGCAACCGGGTACCCGATACCCGGCTACCCGTACCCGGCCGGGTACGGGTACGGGTACCCGTTTGCGACCCTGGTGCGACCGGGTACGGGTACGGGTAGGCCGTGAGTCACTGGTGAGTAACCGTTTGTCACTCATTTCCCAAGTTCCTAGAATCAACCCACCCGCGCCTGCAACATGGCTTCATCCCAGAGGTCACAATCAGGTACCCGATACCCGTACCCTATCCGTACCCGGCCGGGTACGGGTAGGGTACGGGTACGGCCGGGTACGGGTACCCGTTTGCGACCCTGGTGCGGCCGGGTACGGGTAAGGAATCAAAACCCGTTTGCGACCTCTGCTAAATACTCACTAATTGGCTGAAGACAACTTTATGGAAAGAGGACTGTAGCGCACATGCAATTGTTGCTGCCACCTCACTGTCTGGCTGCCTTCTAGCTTGTCTGTAGTCCCATCAGTCATTTGCATAAATGATGCTGTATGAAAGTAAAACATTAAAATGTGATGATTTCAAAGTCTTACCTTGGTTACTGCAGGTCAGTGTTTTCCTGCATACATTTTACTGCACAGAGAATGCAATCTTTGAAATGTTAACTTAATGGGGAATTTAAAGAATTGTATCACCAGCCAAAATAAAAAAATATATGCAAGTGTACAAATATTTGACTATTGCTTTGCAGGACTGTGATGCAATGGTAATGGCTTGGGGAGGCCTTCATCCAGCAGCGAATTAATCATGGCTCGTGATGATGGTATTTATTTACAAAAGGTATATCTATTTCACTTTTGTAGACCTGTAAATCAATGTTATTTACACATAGGATTTTGGCAACCATACAATTAATTATCGCTGGGTGTGTTTAGTTTAAGTGGCTCTGGTAATATATTTGTATCAGCTCTTGCAAACAATATGGAATGTTCCAAAGTTAACCCCCCCCCCCACCTGCATCCACCCATTCTGTGTAAACATTTATCTTTGTCGCACTGAATGTGGAATGCAACATTATTTTGCACCACATCTATTTTGATATGCGAATTATTTTACACAACTCTATATATCTGGCTCTCTAAGTATCAAATGATTGTTCCTCGGAAGTAAGTTTTACTGTTTATTTTAGCTTTCCGACTGTAAGATTATCCAATTGCATAGTGACATCCCAGAGCACATGGGATACATTTTTTCAGAAGCAGAGGACACACCAAACAGCTGTCCTCCGGTGCATTGTTCTCCGGTGCAGACGGTCCCCCTGGTGCCTCCGTCCCACAGCGGCGACCTTTGCAAAGTTGCCCCCCCCTGCCCCCCCTGCTCCCCCCCCCCCCCAGTCTTTTGCCTTAAGACGACCAACAGCTGATTCTGATCAAACGGAAAAGGCTCCGTGAGAGACAGGATGCGTGGAGTCCCATGTTCATGCATTAACCCCGCAGGAGCGAGGTCTCTCGCTAATTGCACCACAAACAATTCCGCAATCTTTTTTTTAGCACGCGGTGGGGGGTTGGGGAGTTGTGATGGTGGCTGCGATGAAAGTTTGCCTTGAAACATTTTCATCGGCGTTTTGTTGTCGCTGCTTAAAAGTCCGCCTGCAGTTAACATCTCCTTCGAGTGGGATGAATGCAAGGTTACAGTTTGTTTTGCAGTTATCGAGTCTTTGAAAAAATAATTTTACAAACAATCGTAACATGAAAAAACCCAACTGGATCAATTTAACCAGCTGAAATATAGAAGTCAGCGAAAAGACCGTTCATTGTAGAGTCTTAATTGTTTGGATAGAATTATCATGACCGTTGTTTGTACAAGCACCGATTTCAGCCAACGTGCCATTAAAAGCCACATTTATATTATTCTAATTGCAGGGTGTGTGCACATGCGCTTTCAAGGGCTTCCTGCAATTTTATTAATTTTAAACAATGGCTTGTGGTATTTCAATAATCAGTTACTGAATCTTCTTCCTCGTTGCCTATTTAATTATCACTCACAGAAGGCTACAGTGGGCAGGTTGTATTTGAAGCCAATATAATGGCTGGTTAACATGTAATGTGCCCCTTTGTAGCCTCATAGTCCAATAATGCAGATGTAGATTATCACAGTCTGCCTTTCATTACAAGGACAAAAGGAATCAAAGTTTGCACGTCATGTGGCTGTTGGCAAAGATAAATTTGGCAAGGGAATTCTTAAATGAATAATGTTTTATGTTCCATAAATATCAGCTAAACCTTCAAATTTTGGTAGACAAAGAAATCGCTTTTTCTGTTTAAACTGATGGTACAGTATGCAGCAAGCCCTCGTCAGCTAAACACTTTCACTGCACGTAAATAACACCATGGGAAAGTCATATTTACATTGTGTTTATCGACAAGCCTCGTGCTGTCATGACTGTATAGAATATGCATCAGGAACGAGTACAATACTACAATCATGAATTGACAGCCCTTCGTCCACCCACTGTTGGATAAAACTGCCCATCCCCATGCCGTGTCAATCATGGGGATTGTGGATATTACTTCACCACGCTGGTCACTGTGAATGAAGTTGGGTCGGGGGGCTCGGGACTTGTTCGGATATCATTCACCACTGATGGTCGAGTGGTCTGGAATCAAACTCAGGTCATCGGTTTAACAAGCGCAGTGAGTTAACCACGGTGCCACTGCTCTCTCGATTACAATGCTCCATTTATTACCGAAAATTACTGCAGATAACAGGAATTGACAATACTCTATGCATTTAATTTTCTCTACTGCAAAACCTTTTCGGTGAATAAACGAAGCACGGTGTGCGATGCACCTAAGAATTGAATACACAAGCAAGTGTGGCAGGCGGTGGAGATTGTAAAGGATTTCATATTCTTGACATTTGTCGAACACTGACAAGGAAATAATTCAGGAACGTCAAACCTCGAGCAAGGCTGCGAATGAAAATTTCTCTCTTAAGGATCGAACCTCCCCAGTAGAAACAGTCAATTAAAACTCCATCTGTTGCACAGTCAATGCAAGCGACAGTGATAAATGTCAATTTGCTTGCCACGTGGAGGCATTGCATGCTTTGGGGAGGGGAACTCCTAGACTGGAAAGGAGATTAAGGAGTGTAGAGGGCCAAGAAGGTTAGAGAGGTAGGAGGGAGCAAATGGACGCCACGCTGGCGAGATGTTAACTGCCTCGCCTGGTATACAGGAGGTCGTGGGTTCAATCCCAACACTGATGCCTGTGTATTTGGAGTTTGCATGTTCTCCCCGTGGTCACATTGATTTTTCTCCGGTTTTTCCCATTCAGAAACATGCATTTAGAGTATTTTGCTACTGTATATATCCACGTGATAAGCCACTTTGTTAAACTATTATTTGTGGGCAGGTCGCTTCTGAAAAAGAGCTATATATCTCAGTGGGCTTTACCTGGTAAAATAAAAATAAAATAGTTAAATTTACAATGGCTTTTCAGACATAGGGTCTGTTATTAACCATCGTTGTCTGTATTCTAAATGCAAGCGTTGTACGTGTTGGTGGGATGAAATAGATGCCAGTAATAGCTCTCTCTGTGTGATCTTATGACCTCTGGTCATTCAGGCCAGCAGTGTTTTATAGGCTTCTGAGAACCTGGGCAAGTGTTTTAGTGGAGTGCCTCGCCAACATTGACTGTTGCCGTGTTTGCTCGCTCTCGGCCTTCCTTCCTGACTTTGTGTGTTTCAAAGACGTTGTGTGTGTGACGCACGAAAAAGCATTCGGAACTCAATCTGTGACCCCTCGCACCCAGTTACGTAAGAGAAATGTAAAAAATATTTCGACGTAATAATATGCGTTCTTTTTTTATTTATCATAGGAAATAAGTGGATAATTGGTGCACTAAATCAGTCCCATTTGAATTCCATTCCAGGATTAAAACATGCATTAATGATACACAACATTGCCCAACTGTGATTTCATGAACATATTTGGTGGGGTTTTTTTTTTGCTTACACAATTTCCAAGTGTAATAAAAAGCAGGTGAACCCATTTATAATCTCGCCTGTTCGGAATAAGCCCCAAAACATTCGACATTCTTCATGTTGAGATTACAAGCGCTCGCCCTGCTCGTACGCAATCTAGATTGAATGTGCGCGTGCTTGCTCGGTGTGCTGACGACGACCCAGGAAAAGCCACTGCAACATCTGTGACGCGACACGTGGTCTGAGTGACATGGCTTCGTGGCCGTAGTCAGGAAGCATCCAAGCTCCAGAATACTTGTTAAATAAGAACACTGCGTAAAGGCCATAGCATATCCTCTTGACCCTAATGAAGCAAAGAGGATGTCCATTGCTGTCAGCTTTTGCTCGCTTGGCCTTTCATATATGTGGAGTTTTTTTTCCATGACATCTGCATAGCTGCGTTTAGCCTACATAAATAAATAAACAAGCACTCACGTTATATTTTCCAATATAAAGTCCTGCTGTAAACATTTGATATATAAAGTATATTTCTGAAAATGTCCTTCTGGTACTGACCAATGAATGTGTGGTATTATGTAGGTCCTTTGTTCGGAACAATAAACTGTGTAATTTATGTACCATGTGTATATGTCTATATGTGTGTGTGTGAAATCGTGTACTGGTCTCCCTGTGCAGGCTCTAACAGTAAAACATTATATTGTATATATACATCTACAGTGTTGTATATTTCGGGCAGAACAAATATTTTAACTGGTGCAGCTGTGCAATGTAATTCAGCGTTTCTTTCCTGTGT